GTGTACCGCACCAGATTCGTATCGTTGTCCACTATCTGAAAGGAGTTGGCATTAAAAACAAGAGTGCAATTATTATCTTTGGTAAAGCGGTGAACGGACAGTAAGTTTGAAGTAAGGGAGGGAACATGATTAAGGGAGTGGAGGTGAAATTTACCATTCGGGGTGTGAATTGAGCCTGAACCTGTGTGAGTGATGGGTAAAGTATGACCATTACCTACAGTAATAGTTTCAGTGCCATGGTAGGGAGTCGGAGTTTGCAGCTGTGAAAGATCATGCGTAACATGAGTATTAGCACCTGTATCAAGGTACCAATCACCAGTTTGGTTGCTTGTGGTTGCATGCATACCACGAGAATTGGTAGCCGAGTTGCTCTCAGTAGAACAATCATCATAGCGGTACCAGCAGGTAGCAGCAGAGTGGCCACGCTTTGAACAGATCTGACATACTGGAAGATCGCGTGAAGGTCCGCAGCCTCCCCCCCTTCCGTAGCTTCGACCGGATCCAGATCCTCGCCCAGAAAACAGTCGACCGTTCGGTCCTCCTCGACCGCGGCCTCGACCGCTGTTTGTATACAGTGCAGAGTGAGAAACTCCGGAGGCGGAATCTGCAATACTCAATTTTTGCTCGATTTCAAGATTTATTTCTTCAGAGGTTAGCCACCCAGAGAGTTGATTGAGACTTATATTCTCATTGTTCATCCGTATATTTTGCTTGAAAGAGGAATATTCATGAGGGAGGCCTCGGATAACAGCATTCACCACATCTCTCTCAGGAATAACCTCGTTGAGAGCATCCAAATCAGTGAGGATAGTGGCAACTTCATCAAGGTACTGGGTGATAGTTTTTGTACCTTTTCGGAGTGTGTGAAGTTTGTCCCGTAGTTGATAGATGTGAGCGGTAGAAACAGAATTATACCAGGCAGCGAGAGCGTTCCATAGATCGGCAGATGTGGTGAAGTTGCGGACATGCTTGTGAACAGACGGACTGATGACGGCAAGAAGGCATGCACGGATCTGAGTATCAATCACAATCCATGTTTGGAATTCTGGGTTAGGGTTTTCCTTGCCATCTTTGGATAGGATTTTTGGAGGCGCAGCTTCATGACCATCGATCCAACCAAGAAGAAGGTTGGCCTCGAGAGCAGTTTTGACATTGAGAGACCATGCAGGATAATTTGAATCGGTGAGCTTCTTTGGGATAAGATTATGGAGATTGCGGAGAAGAAGCTTGACACCAGAAGGAAGCGAAGCAAGCGGATCTGAAGATTGAGCCATGGTTGCCGTTTATGGTCGACCGGCGAGAGGAAGGAGACCGGCGGTGAAGGCACAGTCTCGAAAAAAAAGGGCTAGGGTTTAAACCTAGGCTCCGATACCATGATACAATTTGATAATAATTTGTCTTATTGAATATTGAGAGATATGTTCCTATATATAGGGATTACAAGAGAGAGTC